GACTACAGGCGCCTGCCACAACACCCGGCTATTTTTTTGTTATTGTTGTCCCTGTTGTTTAGCAGGCCCTGGCCGGGTTCAAACCCACCAGCCCGGATGCATGTGGCCGGCGCCATAACCACTGAGCATGGGCACCAAGCCTAAGGCAGCTTCTCTAACTGAAGACCATTTATTGATACTCCTGGCCAGGCTACCATCTCCCTGGTTTCATGGTTGACAGGTAACAAAGGGGACTCAAGGATGCCCAGAGCTGAGAAGCTCACCCGCCCTCCCCTACCCCACCACATACTCGCTTTTAGGTGTGCCTTTTCCTTCAGATTCCCCAGGGTCTACCTCAAAGGGCTGAGGGCCTCCCCCAGACCTAACTCTGATGCTGAGGACCAAGGAAGGTCCGTGGGAGGGACCATGAGAGGAAGCCCAGGGCCCCAAGCCAAGCCACAATAGCAACAATGTGATTTTTCCTTTGGAGACAGTGGCTGCAGGAGAAGCTGGAGAAAGTCCTAGGCTCCTTGTGTACAGTTCCAGGGAAGAAGCCACAAAGAGTGAGGTCACATCAGTTGGGAGAAACCAGGCTTTCTGGAGGCCATTCCTGGAGTTGACACCTCAGTTGGCCTCATGAGAGCCTCCCTCTTGGGCTCCTAAAACGGGAAATAGGGTTACTGGTGCCTAAGCAAGCTCTGGAGGCCACAGAGGAGAGGGGAGATGAGGACCAGGCATTCATCCACCTCCTAAGAGAGCATCAGAGTTCAGCTTTCACCAAGGTGCTCCTTGGGATCACAGCAGCAAAGGCCAGAAGCTGAGGGATGCTGGCAGGTGCAGAGTGCAACTCTGAGGCAGGGTTTTTCTGTCCTGGCTTCCAAGGAATGCAGCAGGCAAGTCAGATGGAGAGCAGGAAACTCTGGGAGCCAGCTACCACTCACCCTCCCTCGCTCCCTCTCTCCCCAGCCAAAAGCCAAGGAAAAGCTAATGAACCCCCACCTTCCAGAGAGACCCACAGGAAAACCCCCAGCTCCAGTCCAGAGGTGGAGTGCCAGGCTGCTGGCCAGGGAGGAAGAGGGCAGAGGACCTGGCCAGCCCAGCAGCAGAATGCCTTCCCTCCGGCTTACCTCCCCCTCAGCATTTCACAGGGAATAGCCGTGCACCCTGGTTGAATGAGTGTAATACCTACACTCAGCAGACTCCGCGGAGTGCTTGGATGTCAGCTGAGAAAATCTTTTCAGGCCTCCAGCAGCTTCACAATGGTTAGGTTTTTATTACAAACAGTCCTTAGACCCCTTCAGAACTATGGGGTCACAGACATTAATGCCAGCCTCTCCCACCGCAGAGCACCGAGATCAGCTGTAGTGACACCCTGGCCC